GTGGTATTAGGATGCTAACCATGAAAGTACTTATAATCTACTTCCAGCAGAGTGAGAACAGAGAGCTTGTTGTGTTGCGACAAGCGATAATAAACAATCAGGGTTCTTGTATACGAATAGATACTCACCCCACATCTCTGCATACCGAAATGACGTACGTGTATAATCTTTCAAGACATGCAAGACTAAACATGGCTACATAAACCATCCGCTGCTGTGTTGCAACATCTACATACAGCATTCTTCGTTCCAAGAACTCTGAATTCTTGTAGAGAGACGACAAATTTGGGAATTTTTTATTTGGAATCAGTCTAAAAAATTTTACACATTTTATAAAGTCTGTAAATTACAATATCTGATTCTACATTCTTTCTAGAAAAAAACAGCGTTTATTTGGTTCGTTTATCACAAAAATTGTAGAAATCACAGCAATTTTAGGAAATGATTACAGTTTTTATTGCTTTAAAATTGCGGGTATTTAAATCAAATCCGTCCTGCTGCCATTACCGGAATTTAAAGGGCCGTCACTTAAAGGTTAATGCAACCATTATGGGTGCATTTGCCTGTTCTTTTTATTTTTGTTACAGGATTATAGAAAAGTAGTAAATGCAAGACATGCATTTGTATCTGGCTTTTGTAAATATTTGGAATGAAGATTCCTGCTGTTGCTGTTGCTATTGCATGTTCCACTGTCATTTGCTGTTCTCAGCCATATACTTCTTTGCTCCAGTAGTACGGGGGGCTCGGCTGCATCTGACCTGCGTGATTTGATAGACCGAGGGCTAATGGCTGTGGCACAGAATGCTTTCCAGGAGGCTTATGACTACTTCAGCAAGGCATATACACTAGATGCATCAAACATTATGGTAAGAGCTGGTAGTGTATTGTCATGTGTAGGGGTTTGTGCGTGATTTATAAGACAGGTTTTGGATTGGATGATTGGATTTATTGATACCTTATTCACACAACTTGGGACTACGGGCAATTACAGTGCTCTCGCTGGTCTACACACTTTACAGTTCAGCATTATGCACACACACTAGAGTCGTCAGTTTTCACTAGTCGTATCCTGGCAACGGATTTACAACAGTCCCACTGTAACTTCAAATTGCACATGAAGTCTTCTTTTCACAGCCTAATTCCTTTCTTGCCATTTACTCTCAATCACCTTAGACTGCCATCTCCAGAATTCAACCCTTTTCTTGATGACAACTGAACCCTCTCAACTTCTAACAGAAACTAACTGCTCCCTTGGAACTCCCCGTTATATAGCCTAGGGGCGGACCCCACGGAAAACACCGTCTTCCATTTTCCAGAATTGTGTTATGCGTGCTTACTGATCTGTTGCCTAGCAGTAGACATCCTATTGTTGGCTCCCACCTAGCAGTCTAGCAGTTGGTATGCATGTCACAATATTGTTTCATTTTTACAGTGATTTGCAGTTGAGCTCACATATAGTGTTCAATTGTAGGGTTTTCTCATTCTATACTCATTTTGTATGACCCCCAACCCAGGTATGTCATTGTTAATTTCTTCCATCCAATAGTTGTAACAGTTTAACCATTACTGTCTCTAGTGTCATTATTGGGACAGTTCATATGTGTAGTCAGCTGGCTGAACAGTGCACTTTTCTTAATACTGTAACCTTGGAGTTAAAACACAGAGAACCAGAGATTACAAATTCTCTGTTTCCTTGAATTAAAATATGGTCACCAGTCTCACAATCTTCTGTCTTCTTATCTGCTTTCAAAAGACATAAAAATTAGAATATACAAAACTATAATTTTTACCGTGGTTCTATATGGGTGTGAAACTTGGTCTCTGATGTTAAGGGAGGAACATGGACTGAGGGTGTTTGAGAATAGGGTGCTGAGTAGAATATTAGGACCAAAGAGAGATGAAGTGACAAAGTTGAAGAAAACTGCGTAATGAGGAACTTCATAACTTGTACTCTTCATGAAGTACAATTAGAATGACCAAGTCAAGGAGGATGAGATGGACAGAGTATGTAGCATGAATAGGGGAGAGGAGAAATGGATACAGGATATTGGTGAGAAAGCCAGAAGAAAAGAGACCACTAGGAAGACCAAGATGTAGGTCGATGGATAATATTAAAATGGATCTGTAACCGTATGTCCCTCGCCAAAATTATTTAATTAAAGGTGTGAACAACTGATGCATTATTTCTCACCATGAGAGACGCTCCATCGGCGAGATACCATCCTGGGACCGTCTAGTTGTAATTCAGCTATTGTCCTCCTTAGGCTAAGGGTGCCACTATTGTCCCTAACGTCGCCTCTTTACTCCCAGTATCATAAACCAATGAACTGACCGTGTGCGAGACCGGCCAGGAGGGGTCTTGGGTTCCTTGAAGACCTACAGAAATTTATGGGCTTCTTTAAAATGTAGGTCAGATGCCGGGCTCGACCCTTGGCTTTCTCCTTTTATTTTCTTGTTTTTCTGATGCCAACTGGGGGACTTGAAAAGATAGAGCAGTCGGTTATAGGGAGCGGAGGAGGACAGTAGTTGAAAGGTAGATATAGAAGAAAGACGTGTTTAACAGTAGGGTAGCGAGTAGGGCGGACGGAGCGGTTAACTTGAAGGACAATGCAAAGATTAACAGTTGAATGAAATTTTAAATTAAAAGTACGATATTCAATGTTCTGGAGATCCCGGATTTATTAACCCCGAAGTGTGTTCCGCTCCCATCTCTGAAGCACCCGTATACTGTGATTAAGAACTCTAGCTTGAGTGACAGTCATGGCAGCTGTAAGTCGGAGGGTGGCTACAGATCTTAGAGAGATAGGATTGGGTGTCCAGGATAGGGACCAGTGGAAGGCTCTTGTGAACACAGTAATGAACTTTTTGGTTGCATAGAATTTTGGGACGTTTTTGAGTAGCTGTACAGCTGGCAGCTTCTGAAGAAGGGCTGAGTTCCATGAAGTTGGTTGGTTAGTTCCACCATTCTGAGAGGTTAGAATCCCTGTTCCCAGATGATGTAGGTTAATGTTTGAATCTTATAACCACCAGCAAAACAGTGACTGGGGTAAAGTATAAGCACTCTGATGTAACTCTTTAGCTGCACATTTCTGATTGCAACTTTACAGTTGTGTTTATAGGCCGAAGTGTATGTTTACAGAAAGATACCGTGAAACTTCTCTGATAAGTGTGAATATAACACGGGTATGGTGAGATACAAGAGGATGTAACGTACATGTACCAGAGCTACAGAATTAGAGTTACCTGAACCTGAATGTATGAAGATTTCAGTGTATGTTACTAGATACAAACATTTGGTAATCTGCCTCCATGTAGCATTGTGCCAGTAAATATGCATGATACTGTAAGATGTGTGCATGTTCTTCAGCAATGGATGTTATTGAAATTCTTTTCTGATGCGTTATAACAAAAAGTTACAAAATCGTACATATTAAACTTTAGCACACCTGTCTGTTCCCGTGTAACAGTTCGGGAGCTCCTGAACAGATTTTCGTGAAATTTGATATTAGTGTATGTTGCTGAAATTCGTACATATGTTCTAATATTGGATGAAATTGTACAGCAATAATGGACAGTATATCAACATTTATATGTATTTCTGCACACATCTTGAATGTAACTAGCTAAATATCACGGTGAAGAATGTTTTGAACAATGTAAGATTTGAGGCTTTCACGGCGGTGACTATGAAGAAAGCAGTCTTCAGGGATTTGGCACCGTGTATATGTGGTGTTAACCGACGTTTCGGAGGAACGTATCGCCCCCATCTTCAGGGTAGAAGAAAAAGTATAAGAAATCTGCAAGCGACAACACCGTGAGAAACGGTAAAGCAGACTGTGGCCACTCTAGGTTTTAAACCATTGCTTTAAAAATCGATTTAGGCTTTGTAGCAACTCTTGACGAATATTGTGTGGTATAATTGCCATTATATATTTCCATCAAAACCTGCATTATTCAGTGAAGATAATAGTTTAATTCACTTTCTAAAAAATACATCTAGACATAAACAGGAAACTCAGTAACTCAACTTACTCCACGGTCTAGAATCTTCCTTCAGTATTAGGTAATTAGTTGGTCAAGGGATTCTGTGTTATGAAGGTTTATCACCTGTAACAAGCAAGCAGAAGTATGTATTCTTTACCTAGGGTACGGTTGCTTCTCATCAGTATCAAAATGTATAATGTTAGAAAAAAGCATTAAATAAATAATAAAAAAAGTAAAGCTATGCCTGTACCAGGCCATGAAGGCCCATAGGGTTATGAGACGTTGAGGGTTCCACATTATCTAGACGATCGGCTCAACGATGGTGGTAAGGTTGTCAGCCTTACGCACCAGCCGCGCTTTACTCCCCAGGAAAATTAAATAAGTAATAAAAACTCAAATTAAAGTAATTTTATTCATGTAATTTAGGTGTGTGCTAAGAACGAGAAAAGTTACACTTATATATGTATATAAATCAGCATTTGACTCGAGTCATTTTTATGCAGTTCACATCTTGCAACATATTTCTCCCAAGTAGCCTCTTTCCATGAAGCTTTTCTACCAGAATTTTGTGTGTATTTCTTTCTTCTGCAAATGAAAGTTGATGTATGTTTGTCTTTAGTTGCTGAATAACATGGGAGTATGCCTGCTCTACCTGGGTCAGCTGAAGGAAGCCCTCTCGTTACTTGAGGGTGCTGTGAATAACAATCCAATACAGGGTCTACATGAAAGCCTCCTGCTCAATGTGTGCACCCTTTATGAACTGGAGAGTTCTTACTGCAACCAGAAGAAGCTTGGCATGTTGCGTTTAATGAGCAGATATAAAGGCGATGGAGTAGGTGTAGCATGCCTCAAGCTACAGATGTAAATGTGTGCTCAGTATTGTCTCTGTAAATCAGAGTAAATGGAATTAATAATGTAATAAACAGGTATGAATAAGTAAAAGAAGTTTTTGTATCTTATCCAGCAGTTGATAACAGTCTTTGTCCTTCATGTGTGTCTTTAACCTTGTAATTGGTAGCTAAGAATTTTTGATAGTTAAAGACTGCTTAGGAGGGCAAGACCAAGATGAGCCAGTGAAGAAGCCTCTGAAAAAGGCAACTGTTCAAGACAATGAAGAATATGTGCTTGTTTCAGCAAGGAAAGTGGCAATTTCCACTGGTTAGTTTGGGCTCTAGTTTCTAAGAACGGCGTATTTTGTCATTCCAGGCATTTATACTAGTTAAGGGCTGGTATTCAGTTTATTTTCCCCATGGTAAAGTTATGAAATAATAGTTGTGTGCATAGCTTTTTTAACCCTTACCTTACTGGCAGTTTATTTCCTAACCAAAAGTGTAGGGTTTTAATTGAAACAGGTTGCTGTAGGAATCGCATTGAATTTTGAAGTAGATGTGTGGTCATTTTAATTGCCTGATTTACCAACAGTTTTCAGTGTTTGCACACACAGTATATCTTCTTCTGTTTTGACACTACAACTCACTTAGAATTTTGGTCTTCTCAATCACACCTTTCCACTTTGTCCTGTCTTCCATTTAGGTACCTTCATCTTCTTAATGTCAGCTTTAACATCATCCTCACATCGTGTTTTTGGTCTGCCCATTGGACTTGTACTTGATGCTTTTCATGAGTACAGGTTTTCAACTGATCTGTTGTTTGGTATTTGCTCTATGTGGCCAAGCCATGCGAGTCTTTTTGTGTTGTCAGTGTTGCGGTTTGCACTATGAAGATGCATTTGTTATAGCTGACATTGATGCACTGTCTGGCTCCTTTAAGTGGTGTCACCCAGCAGGTTAGCACCAGCTGGGCAGAATCTGTTGAAAGTTTGATAAACTGCATAACCTATTGTTAAAAATATGCTGCACTGTAGAACTTGTTAAGAGAAATTGGTACACCTGCAGAATCTGTTGTTAAGAAATTGGTAAGTTGCACAACTTGTTAAAAATTTGGTAACCCCCAGAAAAATAGCTGTTAGAAATCTCGTAAACCACAAAACATGTTGCTAATTGGTGAACTGCATATGTGCTTGTTTCATAAATGTTGCAACAGAAATATAATATAAGATAGATTTTGTGAGAGTAAAAGAAGTCAGATGGGACAGGAATGGTACCGAACCACAAGGCAAATGTACAGTTTTTCTCTGGAAACGGAATAAGAATCATGAATTAGGTACAGGATTTTGTGTACCCAAGAAACTCATATCAGCAGTAAAATGGGTAGTCTTGGTGATAAGATGTGATATACATTACTAATGGGTGGCTGGTATGAATATTCACACCCCAACATGGGATGAAGTTGATATGAAGGACAGCTTCTCTCAAGAACTAGAAGTATATTCGATAAATTACCCAAATGTCATATGTTTTCTTTTAGGAGATCTCAACTTTAAAGTAGGTAGAGAAGACATTTTCGAATGAATAATTGGAAGTGAGAGTTTACACGAAACTAGTTATGATAATGTGGTTAAAGTAGTAAACTTTGCCTCATCCAATATCTGATTGACAAAAGTACAATGTTCCTACTTTATAACATTCATAAATTTACTGAGACATCCGCTGAAAAGAAACACAATCAATAGAGCACTTTGATATATAGAAGATAGCAATTAAATGTAATTTCATGGGATCACACTGATACTGACCATTATCTGGTGGTGGCAAACATTAGGGAGAGGCCAGCAAAGGAAGTTGTTTCACTTAAGGCTGTAGCCTCGTCAGTCATAAATAAGGAAACAACACGCTCAGAGTGGCTCTCCTGCAGTGCCCCCTGCCACCTTCTTACCCCTTAGCGCCCCCAGTGTTATTACTTCACTCCACTTTTGGAACCACTGATTCAGTTGCTTCTTGCATTTACTGATTTTTGTCATGATATCTATGAGAAAAAAAGCTGAACTGCTTGGCTACGTGTGCGCTAATGACATCTGACACAGTTGCTGGAAATTTAATTATAATAAAGCTAAGAATTTCGCCAATATATCCTTTAGATATTAGTAAATGTGTTAGAAGGGTTAGGCGCATGGTACCGATGGTCGTGTTGCAGGGATTCTGGGCAGCTGCCTATTTTGTCGATTGGATATGCTAGTCCTGATTGCGGTAAAAAATTTGTTGCGCGAGTTGTAAGCTATTGTGCATGACCAGTTCATTCTCCTACACAGGGCAAATTCTTTTTTGAGTTCTGGTAACTAATCACTTAGCTAGTCAAGAAATTTCCCAGATTATAAAGGACCCGATGATTTATTAATATGCTTAAAACCCCGCCATTGGCTCTATCCCGAATTTGACTAATCAAGCCCAAAACTACTTTCTTTAATAGGCCTCTCAGCGTGTATCTGTCCCAAGTTGTCTTTTGCTTCAGTTTCCCAAATTAAATTGTGAACGCGTTCTACATGCCCCTTTAATCCCAGTCTCCGTCATTTCGTCGCCCTAGTACAGTTCGGAGAATGAAACAAATTATGAAGTCCCCCATTATTTAATCTGCTCAGCCTGTCTCTCTCTCATTCACAGGCACTCCCAGTCTTCGTTCTTCCCGGGTTATGAGAGGCCAAGTTGCATAGGCATAAAGGCAATAATCTGGAGAAATTTAGGCATCAATAAATAGTCAAACGGGGGAGGAGCCATGCTCTTGCGTACCCTGCCTGTTTCATCACAGTTCCTTGTTCGACAATGACGGCGCCTCTGCACACTAGGTTGGGGCAGTTTACTCCATTATATGAGGGCTATTCGGAAAGCAACCTCCATTTGTAAGTTTTGAGGTTTTCACGGCGATGACTATGAAGAAAGTCGCCTTCTGGGATCTGGCGCCGTGTATTCTTTGTTTCAGCCGACGTTTCGGAGGAATGTATCGCCTCCATCTTCAGGGCAGGTGAATTGCGTTGCGAATACAGAGAGCAGTAGCTGTAATGATTAGGAAGTGAAAAGCGCTACTTTATATATGAAGTAGGCAGGGAGAGGGGACCAATGGGAACAGTGAAGAGCGATTAAGGCCATATATGGTCAAGGGGGCGGAGGGGGGGAGAACGGCCAGCGAATCCAGGCAACTTGGAGGTCAATGGCACGGAGGTTGCGGTTAGACAAGAAGAACCGGTTGGCTGGGGACAGGCTACCGACGTCAATGACATGATTAACAGGGGACAGGCTACTGACGTCAATGACATGAAGAAGAGCTGGGGTGACTTGGTGGAGTTCTCTTGAGGGAAGAGATGAGAGGCTTCCATGACTTGTTGAGACACCTCTCAACAAGTCGGTAGCCTGTCCCCAGCCAACCGGTTCTTCTTGTCTAACCGCAACCTCCGTGCCATTGACCTCCAAGTTGCCTGGATTTACTGGCCGTTTCCCCGCCCCCTTGACCATATATGGCCTTAATCGCTCTTCACTGTTCCCATTGGTCCCCTCTTCCTAACCACCCCCCCTGCCTACTTCCTCTATAAAGTAATGCTTTTCACTTCCTAATCATTACAGCTACTGCACTCTGTATTCGCAACGCAATTCACCTGCCCTGAAGATGGAGGCGATACGTTCCTCCGAAACGTCGGCTGAAACAAAGAATACAGGGCGCCAGATCCCAGAAGACGACTTTCTTCAACCTCCGTTTATTTTAAGAAACTAATGTAGGAGAGGGGGAGAGCTCGCGCATGCGAGGTAGCGTTACGTGTAAACCATCACGTAACTGGTCAATTAGTGCTTGTTCTTGTCTCTACAGAGTGGTTATGGTGCGTGATAATCCCACCAGCTGAGAAATTCGCACTGTTATCCGCTTTCTTCACGCGGAAATACGTCGTGAATTATGCACGGCGGTTTACTGCTAAAGTGTAATGAGTGAAGGAACTGCAAGACAGTGATTTAGAATGTTCACGATGAAGAGCGAAGTGGTTGGTCGTCTGTAGTGAGTAATGATCATTTTTACAGCGTCGACCAAAATAATTTTTGGAAGACGGCGCTTCACAGTTTAAGATATTTCCATGATTTATTTTATCCGTCTTCTACTGCATACATTCATCTATCCCCTCTTCTCACTCGCACTACATGTTTCGGCACAAAAGTGCCATCTTCAGGTGCTGATCCAATCCACGACAAACTAGTTCATTGCATGCCTTGTCTATACATACTAAAATAACTAAAATATATATTTATCATATATACTGATAAATGTTAAGTGTTAAAATATTAAAATTGTACAGGATATTTCATTCCTACGTCGTGTTTCATTACACGAGTCACTTCTATCATCTTCTGTTGGAGCACTCTTTCACTATCGTGTATTGTGCTCTGTGTTGCGTCTTGCTCGTGTGACTGCGTGTGTTATACTGCTGGACCTGCCTTCATAAGTTTTGCGCAAGGTGGGTTCCGAAAATGCTCACCGTTGCGGACAAAACGCAGAGAATGGCTTCGACTTTGACTTTTTTTAAAGAACGATTGACGTTAGCTCTTTGTGAGGACCCCCCCACCCCGCTTGAGGAAGGAAACACATCCAGTTTCCGAAACATCATGTTCTCTATTTTCTACAATACCGGACGATGACAAAAGTGAAAATACCCTGTAATTCTGACTGCTAGAATCTACATATCAACTTCCGGCTCCCATCTAACGATTCGGACCATAACTTGAACTTACATTATTAAAAAAAAAATCAGACAAGTAAATAAGTGTTCACCAAACAAAGTCATGCTTTATTCAGTTACAACTGGAGTCCGGCCACGCCATGGCTCAAGCGGTTAGTCGCTGGCTTCCCACCGCGGCGGCCCGGGTTCGATCCCGGCTCTGGTCAAGTGGGATTTGTGCTGGACAAAGTAGCGCTGGGGCAGGTTTTCCCTGCCAATCTTCATTCCACCAATTGCTCCACAATCACCCTCACCTATCATCTGGGGCTGGTACAATAGGCCAGAAGTGGCCGCAGTACGAGGGACTTAGTCCCACCCCACTAGCAATAAAAAAATACAATTGGAGTAGTGTCCCGTTCTTGGATTACTACCAAGTCCAACGCCCCGTTATTGAGTCGAGTGTTCCAGCGTCGAGCTGAGCAACCGAAACGCATCAAAGGAAGGGAGTGAAGTATCTCTTGGCTTCCAAACTAAAACTTTATCTTGTATTCTTACTCAGCCTTGGTACCCACGCGCTCAGCACATTGTAAAAAGTCGGAACTTGCAGCTGTTTGCCAGCTGCGAGAGTTGTGTGATCAGTTACGGTAATCTTCAACACATACTGGCAAGAGTATAGAGTAAAGAATGCCTTGCGTTATTTTCTATCACATTTACCATATGGAACACGATAATAAAGGAACATAAATGTTAGGAGTTTTTTTTCGATAAGCCTAGAGGACAAAGGTGTATGCTGAGTATGGCGGCTTTGAATTATCCCCAGTAAAACCCCCTGAGACCTATGTAAACCAGTTGTAAGAGCTTGTGGATAATATGGGTTATCATCTCTTTTACCACCAGTGATGCTGCTGAATCCCTAGACGACTAGAGGGGAACATTTGTGGATAATCAGGAGGAGAAAGCTTAAAGGCTCGAGGGAGATATGTAGGGAGCTGATCAGTCGGATATTTTCCCGTGGTTTCAGGATAACTGGGTAATAACTGAAGTGGCCACTGGCAGGGTTATGAACCATCTCAATCCAGATATTTTTCCCTTTATAATTGATTGTAATATCTCCCGGCCGTGCCAGATTCTCACGCAAAGGCCTCGGTTGAATCCTGGGGTAGTCATGTAGGATTTGAGTTGCAGAAATAGGCACTGGGACAGGTTTGTCTCCGAAAATTTTGGTAAACTCGGCGTCACCGCGCGCCTAAAACTAACCTTACCCGGACCGTGCCATAGCTCAGACGGCTAGTGGCCTGCTTCCCACCACAGCGGCCCGGGTGCAGTCCCAGGTCAAAGAATGGGCGAATTTTGGTGGACAAGGTGACACTGGGTGGTGGATTACTTGACTAATCATCCCCGCGGTGTGCCCCCCGACGTCCTGCATCTCATTGGCTACAGTGTCGGCGCCCATATCGCGGGGCTAGTTGCCAACTATATCAACAAGGGGAAACTGGGGAGGATCACGGGTGAGAAAGCACGTCATGTTATCGTCAGTGCATTTGGCAATGTCATCAAGTTCGTAGGCTTATAGAAGAAAGGTGCCAATGTGGCAAACAAAGGAGACAAACTCCGTGGCCTGTAATCCGCAAGCCAACTGTACCGACCTAGCCACCACCGCTTGTCGGCGAAGTAAATGCCAAATTTTGCGGATAGAGGTTGTCGCGTGGTCAGAGCAAAGGATCCCCACGGCCTTAAATCTCGGTTTTCTAGACCGGAGCCTCTACTTTACCATTCAAGCACCTCGTCAATTATCCTCACGAGGCTGAGTGGACCCTATTACAGACCCAGTACTTCTCAGAAAATCTGTTAGCGCCAGGAATCGAACCCGGGACCTCGGAATCTGTAGGCAGGAACTCTGACCACTAGACCACAGAGGCATGCCAATGTGGCATGCTGTATTAACATATAGTTGACTTCAATTGTATCCATCAAAATGTATTGCCTGCTGTAGCATCGACAGACAGGGAGGACAAATATACCAAACTAAAAATATAAGCTTTGACGTCAGAAACATAATCCTCGAGCACAAGTTTTACCAGTGTTGTGAGTAATGAACATGGTGGCACAGAACATTAAACGGCAGTTAAGCTATTAAGCATTATTTTCCTCAAACACATGTTGTTACATGACATGCGATTTACTTATGGATCATACAGATGCACAAGTGTCACCAAACTGCGCGTATTTACTTTTGAAGCCTGAAGTTAAAGCAAATCGTGTATACAGATTCAGCTAATACCTTTCCATTGTAGAGATCAGTCAATTAATGCTGTTTAGGCAAATAATCTATGCTGAGGATATTAAGAAACAAATGAATATGCTGTGGAAAAAATCAGAGTGTATTAATATTACAACAGTAGTACATATGGTTACGAGTATAACTGTGATTTACATGGCAAAATGAGGAGTTGCAATGCTTTGGAACAAAGCAACGTAGTGGACGTACACCGATATCTAATTAAACCAGCCTTTCTCATATTCCTTGTTACAGAAATACTATTCATTAGAAAATGTCTTTTGCAGAGCGCGTGGAGTGTACTACCTCAGCACTAATGCAAAGAAACCATACGCCAAAGGATTCCCAGGGGGCAGACGCCTTGCTCTCAGGGATGCAAATACAAGAAGCTGACAATACTCAGAAAATTCAACTCTCCAAAAGAGTATGTAAAAGAATGATCAGGGAAAAAGTACTGAAGGGCATTTGTTAGTGTCACTGATACACCAAATAGTGTCCTTCTCTTATGTCTGTAGGTCTACATGATGTATGTTATCTCCAGCACGCAGAAACCTTGATAGTTGCTAATATCTTGCCTTGTATTATTAATATTTTTTTTACTTCTCAGTATGACAGATGTAAAGCAGTGTCCAAAATATCCCTGTACATTTGTTTTGTGATCTAGACGTGATCTTCAACGTTGCTCCAACAGAAGCCGGAGCATTATCACTTCTGCATGTCTTACATGCACACATTGTACTGCTGTATACTTGTACTGGTCTCTGTAAGTGATCTGCAGTGTTATACTGATATACATCTGTGAATTAGCACTCCTCTGTAACTTATGTGCAGGAGATTATATTACCATATAAATGTACACACTTGTATTTTGTTTTGTAAGTGATGTCTAATGTTACGTTAATATAAATTTGCGAATATTCACTTCTCAGCACTAATGACATTTACTAGCATACACCCGTATATGTGCCTATTTGATTGTGTTCTAGAAGTGATCTCTACTGTCAAAGTGATACAAATCTGTGATTCTGAGAAGTGGCAATGCACAGTTTATATTAGTATAGTGCACTACAATATGCTATGTGTCTGAGTTCACATGTACCGAAGTGAGCACTTATGGAGCACTGCGTTAAGTGCGTGCAGTTTCTGTACGGATAAGCTGCATGGCAATAAGTGCTCCTCCATTGTGACAGATGAACTCGACTCGCGCAGTCGTGGCACTGTCGTCATAAACTCTTTCATTTAAGTGTTTCACATTTGTGAAGTAGTTATGTTAATCTACTGATATGCGCTCAAAATATTCTTTACTTCTATGTTTCCAGAAGAGTTCTTCGCAGTTAACAGCGCCCAACCGAACCTAGTCCTTATAGTGTCTGAGTATTCCTATAAGCTTTCAGAGTACTCCTTAGCCTCTCCATGTGAATGCTGAGAAAGTGTCTCGAAGCAGATTATCCTCACGCTAGATGACTAAGAAAGAAACGTAAATTAACTTGGCAGATAAGATAATGATTATTTGGACTTGCTGCAAATTACATTGTTCTACTGCTTGAAGTTCTTCCCGAACTACAGGTTATTTTGATATTGGAAGTTCCCACAGCCGTGAATATTAAGATTGCAATTTCCTGAAATATGACTCTGACTGGACTGGTAGGTAGTTATCAATGCTTCGGAGGAAGCTCCTTCGTCCGTCTTCAGGTTAAAAGTTTCTTTCTAGCCTGAAGATCGTGACAATAGTTTCTTCAAACCGTTAGTACCTACATACCTGTCTATATGATGACACATGCCAGAAGACCTCAATCTGCAGCTTAGATGTAGGCCTATAAGGAGCTGCAAACGGAATTATTATCCACATAATGCATTATCGTATTCAATTAAAACTTAAACTTAAAACACGGATAATATTCTGTGGAAACCCAATATGACGTTCATAAAAATATTCATTATGGCGTATATATTTTTACAACCTGAAAAGAAAATGAAAGCATATATTAAATATTTCTTTTTTCTGCACAAATGCTGTCATATGTATGAGTTCTATGATAACACTAAGCTATATCAAACAGTACAACATATTTTATCTCTTTGCATAACATGTACACATGTGTTTCCATGTGCTTGCAGCTGCACAAATATTTGCAAATTTATGGCTGAAAATAAAAGTCACGTAGTTCATTGAAATATGTTTCGTCTCACATTGCCGTTAACGGATAACATTATTTTGAAAATTAAAGACAAATACGATTTCGTTTATTTTATTTATTAGGAAAGATTCTGGAATAAAAATTACTTTAATTCGGTTGAAATGAAACTAAAATTGATGCATATGACAAAAAGTACGCGTTAGAAAATCATTAAATATACTTACCGCGAAGACTGTTCATATTGGCCAATTGTGACTCCACTTAAAAGCGTCAGATTGAAGTATGTGACGAAATTAAAGTGAACAGTGTCCATAGATTTTCTTTATTTTCAGAGGAGAGTGTTAAAATAAGAGTTTAGGAAAAAAACTGATATTCCTATCTTCATGGTAGATACCCTGAAAATGGGGGCAGTATATTCCTCAAAAAAGAAACGATAACTTTCTACCGGAATATACGGAGTCACTGACGCTGTTTAAGACCGTGGTCTTAAACAGCGTCAGTGACTCCCATTCTTACATCTATATGATTACATAAAATACTTATGCCCCTCCCATGGAATCTACGAGCGTATGTAAAGTCATGTATAGTTACTTGTAAAGGAAAAGTTGCTACTATCCTTAAGTAAGCATATAAGCACCACGGCACGAAGAAGTATTTGGGATTGGAGGTATACCTCCACGCATTTTAGTCTTGGCACTAAATGGAGGTGAGTGTTCAGCTTCACGCCCCAGCCACTTTACTTTTCGGGGATAAGACCATAGTGCCAATTAGGTTGGCCCACAAGAGATTTTGACGCTTTGGAGAACAGAAGGACCATTACAACATCAGGAATCGATTCCTTGGTAGTCAAATTCGCGGTAGAATTACTTATACTTGTAAGCCTATACCTGTGATTTGAATAGCCGATAGTGCTAAATAGCTAGAATATCTCTCTCGTTGTCACTTAAGCATTTTCTATCCTCTCGATAGAAGAGGAAGGTTCTTCTTGTCCCTTCCTCATAATCATCAACATTTTACACTTCACAAGAGTTTTCTTTCCCAAATCTGGCTCATCTTTGGGTATACTATTTTGTATTTCAGCGTCCTGTTGAATTGAACTATCACTTGTAGCTCTCTTCCATCCAAATCTATATTGACATTGCTGCATTATAGACGGAAGAAGACTATTTTGGATACACGGCAGGCAGTGATTGAGATTTGCCGATCGCAGTGGCCGCGCGGTCTATGGTATGAACTGTCTTCGCTCGCTCGAACCCTGGGATCGTGGGTTCGTTTCCCACTCTAGGCATGAATGTCTGTATATGCGTGTGTATTTATTCTGTTTGTGTTGTTCTGTGTGTAGATAGCTGCATTGCAACAGACTGATACCCCATCCAAGGAGTTCTACCGACTGTGTAGAGGACTAAGAAACTGAAAAAGCGGTCAGGGCCCAACAAAGGGCTGTGGAGCCACAATATGATAGAATAGAATAGAATTATTTCGATTTGTTGAATTCTGATTTTGCAATGTGGTTTTCTGCAATTGCTACAAGGCACTGCAGCTAAGAAAACACAATGTGTCTCCATTAGAATATTGGACAAATTAATATTGTTTAGAGGAATACTCTCTGTCCATTCAGAGAATCATAGAAGCAGATAAATACACACTGTCGACAAATACGAGCACAGGGTTGTTAATGTGAAGACAAGTTGTATGTACAACTGGTCCGGAGGTCCAGGGACCGGCACAGTCACCTGATGTCTTTTCCTGGTTCTTCGTTGTCAGATTTATTGGAAGGAACATGATTGTCCGTCAGTGCGGGTTTACATGGTAAGCTAAATCAGTTACGGACTGTGCCTCACAATCTGAGAGGCCTCAAGATACCGAGAAACAAAATGTCACCCACAAATGGAAACACGACATTCTCTTGCATGGCACACAGGAACATCTGCGACAGTCGCCAAAAAATGTGGATGCAGAGTCGAGCCTTGCTTTCATTTCTGGTGCATTTGCATCACTGTCTCCAAGCTAACCATGACGTCTATGAGTTTCACTTCTTTCTTACGCAAGAACATATAATTTTTCTAATCTTTAAAAACTGTAAGGATCTCATTTCCATTACAGCTTAGAACATAACATGGTCTTGGTCCGGCCTTTTTATTAATGCTTTTTGTGTAATGTGTAAAGCGACGTGCCTTCACTCTGGAGTGGAGATGTTCCGTCACAAGTCTCACATTTCTTGAAAGCTAAAATCACCCTCCATTTCGAAATTTCCCTAGCAGCTCTACAACAACAAATTACACTTAACGTCCTTTGCAAGTTTCCTTTTTCACTTCTTTTTTTCTGAAACAAACGTTTCACGGAGTCTCTTGATTACCCTCATCTGATTCGGCTGAATCAACACTTCGCTTGCTAATTCTGTAGTACAAGAGAGAAATCCTCTGTTCGATCACATCCTTGGTAATGTATAATGTCACCATACTTAAAACTACTGACAGAAAGCACAGAAAGCCTTTGTCACTAAATTCATCAAACCCAAACTAAAGTCTGACCATAAGTGTACATATTGCTATAGTAAGTAAGGCATGAATAATATAGAAACGATTACAGAAGCTTTGGATTAAATGCTTTCACCTCCATACAGCTGATTCCTTTATGAACAAACTGTAATATTAATGTGTTTGTCGTAGTACACGCAATTTCAGTACTGAGAACAACTCCTGTCTCGTAACAAAGCATGGATATCTCTTCCATTTAGTAGTATCATGAAGATAATACATGTGCAGGTTGAAGCGTTTCAGAATTTTCCAGAAAAACTTTAAATACTAAATTCTTTAGATGCAGAAACTGGGTGCGACTGATCGCTTGGTAGCGTGGTTTCAAATTAACCTACTGTGTCAGCCCCGGATGATAGATAAGTGTGGGTAAATTAGCGCGATGAAAACTGGCAGGGGAAAGCCAAGATTCCCGGAAAGAATCCTGCCTCTTGTCATTCTTTCCGTTATTAATTCCAACACTCGCTAGCCCGGGATTAACACTGCCGTCCGCTGTGAGATGCCGTCGACTTAAAACCACTTCTAAGGTTTTAAGTTTCCCTATGTTGTTGGTCAAAACTACGGAAAATATGTCAGTTTTGGCGGGAGGATATGAAAAACGTTTTTAATAACCATAAATTTGCTAGAAGATTCTGCTTGCTTCGGAAGTATGAGAACACACGCGGTGAACTGAGACAGGGTGTCGCCTGTCTGCGGACTGTAAACACTGGGGTCTGTAGACACGAGTTTCGCAGCGTTCGCGTAAGTTGATA